ATTATATGAATAATATTACTCTCTAATTTATTGCTAACAAAAAAAACACAACAAAAACATGCTACTGATTGTATGTATTTTTAAACAAAGCCTATTTTTTCTGTACAAAAGAAACTGTGTTCAGCACTTTTATTCTGGGTTGTGCTTTTGTTTTCTATATATTTATAATTTAGATCCAAATGTATATATTGTAAAATTTGTGCCTTTCAACTAATTCTTTAAAAAGGTTTTCTACTCATTTAAGGAAGGACTATATGAAATTGCAATCTTAACTTTGTAAACAAATAAAAACTTGAAGATTGCTGAAACCAAGTCTCATATGTTCATTAGTTTTCTAACATGTACATCTTATAGAAGACGCATCTCTGTATGTGTTTCACCAGGTTTTTTTCACAGCTTTTCAATACTGTAAATTATATTTTGAATTTATTTACACAGAGACATTAATTAATTCCTTTGGGAAAAATATCATCATACGACTTTGGAAAGGAGAAGTGAAAAAAATGTATTATATTTTATTTATTATTTATTATATCTATTTAAATATCAGGCCATTATTACATATTCAAGGGACAGCAAAAAGCAGCAATGCTACATCTTTCACAATACCTAACCTAATCTGTTAATACTTTCTTATCTTTAAACGCCTACATGGGAAAAAATGTATGGTTTTATCTTTGAATGATAAAGTCAGATGGAGTTTTTGATGACATTGAGTGAAAAAAGGTATATACGTAACTTTTTTTACACAAAAAAGTATTTTAAAACATCTTTTCTCTTTGATTGCAACAGGTATTATAGCATTTTATATAAAAAGAGCAGATTTTTAAAAAATAACTTTTAATCCACTCAGTTACAGTATTTTCCACATTAAATATTGATCCCAATTTAAGATATTCTAGTTCACATTTGCAGTTATAATTTTTTTAATATGCTGACAAACCTTTTAAACAATTTACTAATTCACTAAACACTGTATTATATGGTTTTCTACAATATTACGTTTTGACCATCCGTATTTACATTAGTCTTATTTACAAAGACCGTCACTGTTTCTGCTTCCGGATGCTGCGCGATGACGTGATGAAACTCACCTGTACGTGATGGCCGCCGAGGCCACGCCTACTTACCTGTCTTCAGAAAGATTTAGAAAGAAACTTCTCCGGCGTCGGAAAAAGATTCTCACACCAGCGAGACGGGCCTTACAGAGGAACAAGTGAGAGTGTTCGAAGCAGCATCGGTTAAGAGTGAAGGACTAACAGGTGGACGTCAGGTCAAAGTTTACAGGTGCGTTTGCTTGTTCTCTGCTACCGAAACACATATAAACACACACAAACATACACACTCGCAGATAACCTGTCACTTCTTGTTAGCAAAGCCTTGTTGAAATAATTGTTACTACTCGATTAAAAGGTCGACAAGGAGAGAACGTTTTTCACTGTTTTTGGCTTTGTTTTGGTCATTTATTTCCGAATTTAATCCTTAACGTTAGCATTTAGCTTTAGCAGACTTATCATCTTAATAACCCGTAGGTTTTTGTATTAGTAGGCCTGTAATTCAGTGGATATTCTTCAGCAATTTATTGTTTTTCTCTCTCTAAGAGATATGTTTTGTATTTGTAATTTATTTTATTTGTAATGAGATATGTTTAAATGTGTGTGTCATTAGATGAGTATTATACAGTATATGATGACCTGTAGTGATTAGCATATGAATACCACCCACAATACGATTAAAACATAAATGTATTTTAAAATATAGGAACGTTTTGACAGAAAACAGTTCACCTGAACTGTCAGGAAAAAAGGTATATATATATAAAAAAGAAAAGTTACAAAAGCAAGTTGCTATGCTTATTATGGAGCACATACTGTATATGCAGCTTTAATGCAATTTGTATTTTAGTGTCATTGATGTAAAAGGTGTGGAAAAAAGAAACCTAAATAAGATAATTATCAAGTTCGATATGTTTTTATTGTGAGTGAAGTGGACTTTGTGACACAGATAGATGGAGACTTGTATGCTGTCAGCTGAAGGGCATAGTGTAATTCTATGCGTGATCTTCATTTAAAATTATCCTGTGATTGGAGGCTAATTGTTATTAATTCCTCTTGATTTTATACTCTATATATTATGGTACACAACGCCCTGTTTGCTCTGGGTGGGTTTGTAGTTTTCAGTTTGCACCTTCAAACCCCACTTTTCTTCAACTCACCTTACTGGTTCTGCCACACTTACAAGTTTCTACTTGCTCTACCTTGAGGTTTCACAACAGTTTCGACTCGACATTCCCAAACTGCTACATCTGTTTTTGCTTGACCCAAGTCATTTTTTTTTTATTGATTAACTGATACTCGCTTAATGGCGACAACATTGAGTGTCAGGTCTGAGTCTAAGGGTTCTCACTTACTGTTCTGGATTAGACACTGGTATAGTTTTGGTTGATGTGTACAGGGGAAGTTAATCTAAATCACAAATACAAAAACAAATGTTTTTAGGAACCCACACGTTTTTATCGGTAGAATAAGGAACACAACATTTATTTGACATTTCCAGTAAACTTAGTTAATCATCAGCACACCAGAGATATCTAGACACTGTATGTATGAGTTCTGTATGGCTTAATGGCTCTGACTAATGTTTATATAACCCATCTACTATTAATGACATCTCACTTTTCTATTATCTCTTCACCTTTTGAATACTTGATTCATCATTTGGCAGTTGCTCCATAAAATGTCACAATAAAGTTTAAATGTCAATGTAAAATTACATTTTCCAAATGCAAAATATGCAAATGGTGTTAAAGCCTATGTTAACTATGCAGAAAGTAAAATCTAATTTATCTTGATTTTATTTTAATATTAGTTTTACTGATTTTGTCGTTGGTTAATTGATAAAGTGTCAGTTTGAAAACATTTAGGTTTAATACAGAAAGACACACACACACACACTGCTATATCCCACAGGGCTGTTCCACCTATTTAGCAAATAAATATACTTTCAGTTCATTACATATGTATTGAGACCCCACCTAAAAAGTATCTCCACTCGGAATACTCATTGTACAACCTCTTCAGCCATGTCTGCTGGTACAACAGTACTAACAAAATTCTGTTTTACTTTTGATATTTGCAGATACCACCTGAAGACATTTGTGTAAGATGCATGTACAGCCTGTATGAATTGTGGCTTTACCGGGCTACTGACTTGTTGATGGCAAATATCATGGTTGACTCCACAGTGAGTCCACGACATGCATTTACAACTCTGAGGGCTGTGTAAACAGTTGGAGTATTTGTCTTCTTAAGCTCCATTTCAACACAGATAGGTTTTACTATTCCTCAGTTACCACTAGCCACTTTGTAATGAAATGCACTCCAGTCTTTCTGCCTTTGTCACTTATTAATATTTACTGATGTGGATTGTTTGAGTGAGTTGCTATTTAAAGAAACTGCAGTGTTGCTGCAAATCTTGGCTGTTGATCAAGCAAGATGTTCTTGAAGCATGTAGTCACATGAGACCAAGTGACCTCTAAAATGACACATGAAGTCTTGAGACAGGATTGAGTGAATATTTACCCACCAGAGGAGGCACACCTTCTCTGGATGTTTACTCTTGTAACAGTAGTGGCTTCTTTTAAACCCAGGTTTTTGTTCCAACCTTTTAATAATTCAGTACTTGTTCCCAGTCTGGGGCTAAATGGGGCCACATACTGCACCTTCCTAATCCAAGCAAAAGACATGAAACTGTCACAGAATATGGACATCACCTAGTTTAGAACTGATACATGGTACTTACACTGTTAAGCACTGTATACTTAAAAAAACGTATTTATCGACAGAGGAAGCATTATTATCAATATTAAACAATTATGGAACAAAGGGGACAGAGATGATGAAAAGCTTAAATGCTGATGCACTATTAGCAGATAAGATTGAGATGATTAATTGGTGTAATATGCTGTATAATGCTTACAGTGTGTCCTGCAAGTGTGAATCCTGGCTCCAGTCCCCTTAGCCTCCCATTTAAAGGAATAAGCTTTAGATAATGGATGGATGGATGGATGAGAGATCGCCATCTTGTCGAGCAACAATGTGATGCACTTTCAGAGGACACATACAAACATGCGAAATAAAGCTACCATAATATTTGCATTGATATCTTATTATTGTTATGTACTATTAGCTCAAGTCCCAAGTATAAGTCACCCAGGACTCTGTAACTTCAAGTCAAGTCTGTATTTGATCAGAAAAGACAGAAACCTGGGTTGAGTTTGAGTGAAGTCGATGTCAAACTCACTAAAGACATATTTGAGTCCAGGTCAATCCAAGTGAAGTCTCCACAGTTTAAAGTCTCCGAGCTGAGATTTTTGGTCACCAGTGCCTTAGTCCAGTTTGCACAATGACAACCATAGTCTAACAGAAATAGTAGCATACCTATACAGTGTGGCATGTGTAAACGTTGACCATGACACTGCTGCACCGTTGAGGCTCTGTGTTGTAAGAGGGTCATTTCCTGAATCTCAAACACAGCAGGGTCTGTGTAAGAACCCATGAAAACTTTACTCTGGGCAAGCAGACTTCTAGTGTAGCAAACAACCCATCAATTATTAACAGTTCAGTGCTCTCATTCCTCAGATGTAACCATAGCACCCGGTAGACTGAAACTCAGCCAGCAGCCTGCTACCTGCTGCTGCTCTGTGGGAATTATACTTGTGTACCACTAACAGAAGAAGCCAGCGAAACTATTGAATCTGAAGAAACGCTCAGAAAGGGACCACTTGGGACTAATCTAGAAACAGGGACTCACAGGCTGGACAAAGGGAATATTACAAAGGTTCACTTTGAACTCAGTCACTCAGCAAGTTTTTCAAAAAGAAGACCAAATATGAGTTTGAAACAGCGGATTAAACTGATGAAGCACTTTGGTTCTTTGCCTCCTGAGCCCAAACCACCACTTCTGGTGGTGCCTGTAAGTGGATGCATTCTAGCAACATAGTAGTAAAACGTCTTTCAGGAACGTTTGGACCATGAGTTGGCATTAGTCGCAGCATATTGTCTTGTGTGTCTCTAGTTAAGAGTTTTTATTTTGATGTTGTCTGTTTAACGTAATTGTTTTGAGATTGTATCCCTAATTTACTGTTAGATTAAGGTACCCGAGGTGTTAAGACTAAGCTCTTTTAAATGCAACAAGAAAGTAATAATACAATTTTTGTGCAAAACTATAAAACAAATACAAAAAAGGAAACGTATAACAAAAATTATTTCTTAACATTTTGGAAAAGGAGCAGGATATATTCATTAGTAAGACAGTCTGAACATGTGACGTTGTTAGTCAAATTAACAATATTGCATCTTAGCTATAATATCGTAAAATTATGTATTTTAATTGCTTTTATGCCTTCATTACTGTATCTTATGTCATGTGATTGTATAGATTTTTAGTCTGAGATTTGGCTGTCAGATTTAAAACTTATCACACCAACTGGGTCAGGTATTATGCTAAGAAAAAGATAAATTCACATATTTTTATTAGGTTTGATTCTGAGAATTCTAGGAGCTTAACACGTTCATTAAAAGGAGGCAAAAAGGGCAAACATTTAGCAGAGAACAGTTTATTAAAGGAACCACAGTACAAACAGGGCCATGTAAATGAAACCTTCATACAGAAACTACTGTATGCATTATTATTATCATCATTATTATTATTATTATTTTACTATATGATGATTTCAATATCTTTTTCCCACTGCCTTTGTGCTGGGTTGTAGTATGAATTAATATCAGATGCTGAAACCCTTACTGCTGTTTATGCAGCTTTAATGAGCAGCGGTGCAGCTCCACCTTAATCCAGGTTTATTAAAGGGCACTGGAGAGTGACTGAGAGAGGGCAAAGGCTGAGTGGGGGAGGAGTCCTCCAGGTGAGCTCTCTCCCACCAAGTGGTTAGGGAACTGCTTTCTTTTTTTTTTTCTTTTTTTTTTTAAATTAGGACAGAAGTTGGCAGTCACGTGGAACTAACCTACGTAGCATACTGTATGGAGTAGCCAGTAGTCTAACTTGGACGTGTGATTGTTTGCCGTTTGCTGTTGTCGTATGGAGCACAAAAGGCTAGCTGTTCGCTGAGCGCTGGAGGCAGCAGGTGTTTTTGTTCAGCAGTGAAATCCTAGTGGGAAATGGAAGTAAGGTTCAAAGACCATGTGGTAAGTGGTCTGGGAGGAATACAAAGCTTCAACGGTCTCACAACACAAACGGTGATGTCTGTACTAATGCTAACACACTCTAATGGTTAATTTGTGAGGGATAAATACTACGAGTGAATACAAATATTATTGTCTTAAAATGTAAGGTAATCTGTATTTTTCTCTTGTGCTTGAAAAATATAATTTGTGTTTTAATGATGATTCATATGATAAGTTCATAGTGTTGATTATCAATTAGTCTTGGGTGTTTTTTGACCACTGACTTGAGCTTTGTTGCAACAGGTACGTGCAATAGTACTACAGTATGGCATAATTTAGTTCTCTTAGGTATCTATGTCAGTCAATCATATACAGATTTCCGTTCCGCTAGCCTATCTGTTACTGAGTAACCTGGTCAAACACACACCCT